TTATTCTTCTATTTATCATGTTTTTCTACATGATGTATGGTATATATATATATATATATATATATATATTTTTTTTTTTTTGAAAGAGTAAACTATCTATATGAATGCTTTATGAGTGTAATTTTTGGACCAGGTCTTATTTATGAACGTTGGAAAAATGGATTCTTTTATTTTTATTTATTTATTTTATAGCCTTTTATCTCTTCTGTCGGAACTGCGTGGCTACTTAGCTTACAAAGAACCTGAAACCAGGCTAGCTAAAAGGCAAACTGTCCGAGATAAAATATGGCTTTATGTGAAAGAATATTTAGCGTCCCTTATCTCTTCTGTCGGAACTGCGTGGCTACTTAGCTTACAAAGAACCTGAAACCAGGCTAGCTAAAAGGCAGACTGTCCGAGATAGGGGTGTTTATTTCTGAAAAATATTTTTGGTTTTTGTTCTGTTGTTTGTTTTATGCCATGCAACATACAAATGCAACAATCATATGCACACACAATTCGATCATCCCCGAACAGGCGTAGATTTCGTTTTTATCATGAGGTAGGGTTTTCCTCGCGTAAAAGTGCATTGGTCGTGGTAGGTTCTAACTGTTCTCACCAGGCTAAGGCCCCCAAGGTGCCCCCATTAAAGGGTCCCCACTCTCCAGCCGTCCAACCATGCTCAACACTAAGGCCAGAGTCGGTCTTGTTGCCAAAAGAGGAAGGTTATCACCTTGAGTGGTGGTTTTCGATCACACTGGTGGGCACAAGGCCCTAACTACAGCGAACCGTACCTGCCACCCACTCCCTATGGTTATCTCACTTGCCCCCGGGTATAGAGGGAACTGTAGTGTGCAAGGGTTTGTGTGCAATTTATATTTCAATCAAATGCGTAAATATAAACAAGCAACAATTATTTGAAAGCCAAACAATAAAGCATGTTATAATACAAGGTAGGGTAAAAGTGCTATTTTCTTGGTTTAATTTAAGCCAGCCCATCACTAAATGGGATCAACTCTCTAGGCTTCCCCAGTGAAGTCGCCATCTGTCGCCGCCGTCAAAACGAGGCGGTCGGAGCGATGCGATGGTTTTGTCGACCCTCTTGCGTTTTCGCATTTTTTATGGGTGGTTACAACGTCCTTAGGTTGTCCGATAACCGGGCTAGCCTAGAGACGAGGCTTTCAAAAAGTGTTCTTGGGTTGTCTGATAACCGGGCTAACCCAAGAACGGGTTTTGAAGGGTTCGTGGAGTCGCCACCGATGTTTTTACCGGAAACATCGGAAAAGGGGTTTGAAAAGGCGTTGGTTTTCGAAAACCAACTTTGGTCATTAGAACCAGAGTTGGGTAAGGGAGTTAGTTACGTGCAAAGGAAGTGTTAGTTCCTTTACGACGCCCCTTTCGGGTTCCCTATGATAGGCCGGCTACTTTGGATAAACAATTAAACTGGAAAAAATTGCGCTTTTACCCTTTTATTATGCAGTATTTAAATTTATGACTACATGGCCCTAACGTTTATTGCATAATTTAAATGAAAGTAGTAAAGATAGAAAGGGAGAGTATGCACCTCCAAAGCAAGCTTTTTGTATTTCTCTTTAAAGAGTGGGTGATTTTTGGCAACCCTTCACTCTACAACTCTCAGAAACTCCGGAAATGCCTCGGAGGGATTCTAAAGAAGATTTAGAACGCTCAAAATTCTCCTAAAGACACTCAGAAACTCCGAAAATGCTTCGGAGGGGTTCTAGAGAGAGAAAATCTAAAGAGAAGGAGGAGGAACTGTGTGTTTCTGTGTGGAAATGAGGGGGGGAGAGCCCCTATTTATAGTTTTTCGTGCCTGACAGGTCGAGACCGCCGTTTCGTCTGACAGGGTCGAGACCGCCGTCTGGACAATCCAGACCGCCATCTCGATCATGGCAGGGGGTCGAGACCGCCGTCTGGATAATTCAGACCGCCGTCTCGACTAGGCAGAAGTCGAGACCGCCGTCTGGATAATCCAGACGGCGGTCTCGTCCCTGGCGTGAGGCGAGACGGCGATCTGGTCCTTCCAAACGGCGGTCTCGTCCCTTCAGTGCTCGAAACTTTATTTTTTGGGCCAGAAAAACCTCCTATCTTAGTACGAGGGCCTAATAGTCTCTCCTAGTGGCTTGTTAGGCTTCAGCCGTCTTCAAATAGGGGGTCTTCTGACTTTATTTGGAGGCCGGACAAGATTTGGGGTCTACAATAATTCATCAAGAGTCTCTCTTATATATTCATCATCACCTGCAATTTCTTTATTTGACTCAAGAGGATTTCCCCCAAGGTCTACAATCTCATCAAAGGTAACATGTATAGATTCTTCTATATTCAAAGTTCTCCTATTAAACACCCTATAAGCCTTGCTAGTTAATGAATAACCTAAGAAAATGCCCTCATCAGCTTTAGAGTCAAATTTTCCTAAGTTATCCTTTCCATTATTTAACACAAAACACTTACATCCAAAGATTTTCAAATGAGCAACATTAGGCTTTCTACCATTAAACAATTCATAGGGAGTAGATTTAATAATTGACCTAATGAGCATTCTATTTAAAACATACTAAATGATCAATTTTCTTTGAATAAATACAAGAGACAAACAATTCATTTAACTATAGGAACCCAAATGTATTTACCTTTAGGAACACCAAAATGTTTAATTTTACATCGATTTGAAGTATGACCATGTTTCATACAATAAAAACATGCTTTAGATGTAGCTTTTGAAAATGATGCATTTATAACAATGGATGATTTAGTTCCTTTTTCCACCCATACTCTTTTCTTTTTAGTTTTAGGCTTTCTCAAAGAAACTTGATGGTTTACACTATTTTGAGTTACAACAACTTTATTATTATTACTCAATTCCTTTTCGGCTTTATCAAGTAGATGAATAAGTATATCTATATCATACTCATATTCTTTACAAGATGCACATACTATATTTTTATCATCATTCTCATCTAAGCATACAATTTTCGTTTCTAAGGTTTCCTTTTCCTCTAAACATGCAATTTTCGTTTTTAATGACTCCTTTTCCTCTAAACATATAATTTTCATTTTTAAGGACTCTACCTCTTTTTCGGAACTACTTAAACTCTTTTTCACAACTTTGTATTCATTTTTCAAGTCCTTAAAGGCACTAAACAATTCATTATATGCATTTTGTAATTCATCAAAATCATTTTCATCATCACTTGAGGATGAGTCGGAATCACTAACCTCAAAGTTAGAAGATATATTGTCTTTTGCCAACAAGCAAATGTTAGCTTCTATTTCCATATCACTTGACTCTGAAATCGAGTCACTATCATCGGTTCCTTCATAAGTTACTCTTAGTTTATCCCACATTTCTTGAGCACTCTTACAAACTAATATCCTGTAAAACTCGTCAAGGGTTAGAGCAGATGAAATTATATTTCTAGCCCTAACGTCAAATTGTGCTTTTCTGTTTTCTTCTGCAGTCCATTTAGAAAAAGGTTTAAGAACGTCAATACCGTTCTCAGTAATTTTAGGAACAAATGGACCGTTTAAAATAGCATCCCAAACGCCTCTATCAACAGACTCTAAAAATATTTGCATATGTACCTTCCAGAAAGGATAATTTT